CTTCTTGAGCTAACTGTTGGCAAGTTGGGGTTTCCGCATAAGTGATCAAAGTTCTCTATGGACACTGACAGCGTTTCTTGTACTTTTGCGGGACAAATTGACCTATACTAGTATATCATGGGTGATGTTAAGTCTCTTAACCATCTACCGCCTTAGTTACTTCCATGGTTTCTCCTCAGTACATGATCTCCGGGCATTAGTAAAAGGCTACCTCAGAGGCACCAACCAAGGCCATCATTTTGAATTCATACTTCTCTGGTTGGAATCCATACTCTTGAGCGTGCATGCCACCAGTGATGTCCCACAAAAGAAAAAATAAATAAATAAATAAAATAAATAAAATAAAACAGTGTCTGAGGGGGAGCTTCCGCATTTACTTAACAAATACCCCGTGATTCCTAGTGGTTTGACTTTTCTCTGTGATAGTCAGTTACTCGTGTCGGAGGTCCAGCCATCCGATCACTACTAGGATTAACTCTAGCTTTGTGGCTCTCAAGGATTGCACACACACACATTTTTTCATGAGCTCTCATGTGTGTTTTTGAGTTATGCATTCTCATGATGCGTGTGGCTTTGATTTAATACTATCTGTGTTGTTCATGAGCTGGTGTTTCATCTCTTTTCTCAAAATTTGCAGGACTCATAATTTGATGGATTTTCTTGTCTTTGTGGTTTAGTCTACACTTGCTCTTCTTGCTTGTTACAGGACTTTCTAGGTGTGTTTTGTTTTTTTTTTTTAAAAAAAAAAAAAAAAAAAAGGGTTTTTCCGCTCGAGCGGAATGTTTTACGCTCGGGCGCGTTTTTCACTCTTGCAGCAGTTTGTTCGTGTTTTGGCAGTTCTGAGAGATGGGTTTTTGAGCTCGAGCGGCCCTTTGCACGCTCGCGCGGGAGTCTGCTTGCTTTGTTTTACGCTCGAGCGGTAATACGTACGCTCGAGCGGACCATTTTCATACTTAACTCCCTCTCTCGACTCTTCAAGTCATTTTTTCTTCCTTTTTCATTCTCTCGATCTAGGGTTTGTTTTGTGGCTGCATTGTGGTCGTTTTTTTTCCTCTCATCCTCCATCTTGCCTGCCGATTTGCTCTTTGGTAAGTTTTACCCTCTTTTATTTTCGTTGATTTTTGTTCTATTTGGTTATAGTGGGTGTTGGGTTTGTGATTTTGTGGGTTTTGTGTGTCGTTTGTGATTCTCTCTCTCCCACACCTTTTCCTCGTCCTATTGTCGATTTTTTTTGTGTGTTTTCTTTATTGTGTCTGTGGTATTCGGGTTTATCTGTGTTCATGCTTTCTTGTCTTCATGGGCTGTTGAGGTCACTGTGCGTGAGTATGGGTCTGGTCTTGAATACATTGCTTTGGTTTTCTCATGATTCATACTTATACTTTGCAATTTCTCTCATACTGGGTGTATTAGTTATGAGTTCTTCAATACCATGCTCCTCTTTGTTCATGCTTGATCTTTTGCATTGCACATTGAGGATTGCATGCCCTGTTTTTTTAATTTGGTTATTGAACTAATGATTTGCTTTGGTTTTGTTTTGGTGTGGTTTGGGTTTTGGGTTTGTTGGTTTGTTGGGTGTTATAGTGTTTTTCGTCATGTCTGCTCCTGCTCCTAAACGCCGAAAGGCCACCGTCTCTCGCCCTACCTATAACCCTGTTAGGTTTCAGTCGGCCACACCATCCAAGTCCTTCCACAAATCTTTTGTGACTCGCACAGTTCATTTAGAACGGAATGTTCAACCTGATACATTTGAGTCCATCCACATTCATTCTATGTTCGACCCTCTAGGTGGTGACCTTGTTTTATTGTTTTCTGGGCGTCAGAATCTCGATTGGGTTCGAGAATTCTATTGTAATATGGAGGGTATTCGTGATTATGAGCCATCTTTCACTACATGGGTTCGGTCAAAATCCATTTCCGTCACCCCTGTTTTGATTCGCCAACTTCTTAAGATTGAGCAAGTCTTTCCCCAATACTATCCTTTCCCTGTTCCTGATCGTCCTACTTGTAACTTTGATGATGTGGCTTTGGAACTGTGTGGTGTTGCCCATCACTGGCCTAAAGGAGGTTTGATTAAACAGTTTGAACTTCTTCTGGAGTTCAGACTGCTTAATCTGATTGTCTGCGCCAATATCATTGTCACCACACA